GGGTAATAATGTTAAAAAAAATTATTAGTTAGGGATAAAATTATAATTAAATTAAGATTGACATACCAAATGTATGAAGTAGATGAAGTAGAAAGAGAGACATGAGAATTATGGGCGATGGACAGTGATATAAGATCTGTTTAATTTTATTATATATATTGTTTGATTTATGTACTCTCAACCGTTGGATAAATCCAATGGCTGAGAGCTAGTCCGGATTATAGTAAAATGCTTTGTGTCCAAGTGGTCCTCTGATATTACAGGTGCGGAATAAGCTAATGCAGAGGGCTTTAAGGGGGGGGGGGCGCCATCTTGATCATGCTGCTGGCTTTTCGTCATCATCTTTTTCACTTTTTATTTTGGTGGGGATTAGATGATAGGCCTAATTCTTTGTTTCTTATATGTAATAGTGTAGTTGAACGATTTGCTTTAGCTAATGTGAGTCTTAGTACTTTAATATGATCCACTTCCATTAATAGAATTTTGACATTATGCACTTTGTTTCCACTCTTTTGCTTGTCAAGAGTCTAGGGAATCAAATGATTAGTACTTTGTTTAGGAGGATGAATATTGTGGTCGCCTTGACACTAAAAAAACGGATTTCTTATTTTCCTTAAGGGCCATTATGCATGTGTTGTCTATTGGTGTAGATAGTGATGATTTGCTCCTGGTGTTTATTGATCGTAGAATAATATATCACAAGCACATGCATTCGACTTTTTAGGTGTATGTCTACTGATGCATTTTCATATATTGTCCATGTATTTCCGTGTATAATGTTCTAAGAAATTCCTTTTTGTCACAGATACATGGCTAGGAACAGAAAATATTTGAGCTGGAGGCTCACTATGAAACTGATCGAGATCATTGCTCAAGCAGAAATTGAGTTCCTTCCGCATTACAGGGGTCTCTGAAAACAAAAGCAGCTGTTTGAATGCAATATTTGCATAGACTCTGCACGTGATCCTGTAGTACCCTCGTGGTATCTATATTGTTGGGCTGCATTATGAGTGGCTTTCTGTCCCAACATCTCTCAAGATGTGACAAACGCAGCAGAATTGCCCCGTCTGTAAGGCTAACAATTCTCTTACTTCATTGGTTTCTCTCTATTGTCATGGAACATCCTCTTCTGAATCCGAATCCAAGAAGCATAGTTTTGGTGTGGGGTGCCCAGTAGACCGCACCTCCTATGTGACACACTTCAATTACTTCCACTACAAAACCACCACACCATCGAATCCACACTACATTCAGATCTCTTTCAGTCGCGAAGCCAGTCATTACATAACCCACAGTACTTCTCTCACCACTACGGTGGTTATGCAGCCATTTTGCAAGTCTAGTCTCAGTGTAGAGCAACAATTAGCTTGTTACCCACTGATGGGAATGTTTGGAGGGATGTATTAGAGAGGATTTTTGGGAGTTCAGTCACGAGTTGTCAGCGTATCCATCTCCACAATCCTTAATGACAAGTAGCAACCGTAGAATCAGGAGGAGGAAGTGGAGATTGACAAGTCCCTTAACAGAGTATCAACTTTCTTTTTTGTGCTTATTCGTGTCTTCTTTTGTTCTAATCATATAATCTCTTAGCTTTAAGCTTTTCATACTAAAAAAGATGGATGCGTGATTAATGCTATGGTACGGTAAAATTTGTAGGTTCCAAAGTCGAGTCCGAAACTTTTGTGAGGAAACTCTGCTATAGTTCACGTGTAGATAATGTCAATTCTTCATTGTAAATTATTGTTTCTCTAATTTTTGCTTCTCTCCGTTTAGAATTCTTGACCATTACTCTCGAACTGGAAGGGTGATTACGAAACATGCTTCTTCATAAAATTTTCTAAAAGGGTGATCTGATCTGAAAGGGAGAACTTTATTAGCGGGTAACCCAAGTTAATCAAAATTCCAAATATAAAAAGGAGCCAAAGTTACTGGAATACTAATAGAATTCCAAATACATAAGGAGATCTCTTATTACTCAAAAAATACGAAACTTTAAATGCGGTGTGACCAAGTCTCTTTTTATCTTGAGTTTTACTCTCCGAGAGCATGGAAATCGATAGAATAGTTGTCTCCACGACCTCAATTTTATACAAAATCTTCTCTTCTTCCCGCAAAAGATGTTCTTCAAAAACCTCTCTCAAAGAGTTGGCTAAGACATGGAATCACTTCCTCATCTTGACTTGATGAATCCGATTTTACCAATGAGAAAAGCTTACAAACTTCGTGGATAAATTCTGCTCCACCGTGGCAAATCAATCAGTATAATTAGACTTCGACCTCTATTGCGGATTTGGCGAGCAGAAGTGTGAATTGGAGACCTGGATTAGTGCTGCAGTTACGGCAAGAGTTCAAGAGCTTCAACTCTGCTTAAATACAAAGATCGGTGATGGCTACCCTCTCTCTTATTCAATTGCAAGTCTTTGGTAACACTCAGACTGAACATCGCTATGTCGTTCGCTTTCCTGATAACGTTGTGTTCCCAAATATGAAGATCATTGATTCTGTGATGTGCACTTTGCAAGAATTCAGTGACTAACTGCTTACAGCCAAAATCTTGAAGAAATAACTTCATGCATTGTAGAATCGACATTGATAATTCTTCTTCTCCAAGTCACTTACTGTTCGAGAAGATGTAGTTGCCAGATGATCTCATTGTCAGGGACTTTTCCAATTTAAATAACGCAACTATGTGTTAGGAAAACATCCCGGCAAGAGGAGGAAACGGTTTCTGCGCTAGTAAATTCATCAAACGCTTCTAATGTCCCATGTTACTGTACCTATAAAACGCATGTATGAGAGTATGTTTTCATATTCTGAAAATCACTTTGCGGGTAATTCTGGCGAACTCTTGTTACAATTTCTAGCATAAACTACTCTTACAGTATTTTCTCTTGCAGCTTTTGCAATTGAGCGAGGAATTTACTGGATTATTTGCCAACTTTGCAATCTCAAGCGTTTTGCAGCGTATGTAGTATTAAGGATGGTGAATAGGGTGTTGAGTTGTCTGCTGGATCGCTATCCTATTCTCGAATCCCTGGGATAGATTTTTCAATTACAAATTCAGAAGTTTAGTTTCGAGAGGTAAAAGAGAACTGAAGCGGGAGAGAATGCTCGACATTTGGAATGCATTAGAATGGAACCTTCGTGGAAGCAAAGAACCAGGTTGAGCTGGGAGATTCTTCTAGCAAACTGCGTCAAGGTTGAAGAAGATGAGTCTTTATTCGGATAGAGAATTTCCATTGTCGCTGGACTTATTTGAGTTTCCAAGACTGTCAACAGTTGTGACTGTGATTATTAGACTTTATGTCGAGGGGCATATTCACGAGGAGAATGCTACACTTACATAACTCTTTACACAATTTTCATTACTCATGATGTGACAATGTTCAAACTATATAAATTTTAATTATTTTGAATTTAATATTATAATAGAATTTAGTGGTTATAGCTATACCACATCATGATGTATACAAAATTATGTAAAAAAATTTGGGTATAAGGTGATCTTACTCATTGTACTGGTGGCATAGATGGATGGTGAAAGAATTAGAAAGGTTGAGGCGTGCCACATACATTGGATGGTCACAAATCGCGATCAATATTTGATTTATGTTTAGTTAATTCATATTTAAAATACTTTAATTTCTAGAGGATTTGTTTTAATCAATTAATTAATTATGAGTCAACGTAACTGACTAGCGTGGAACATAAAAAGAATAATACTTTGGTTACTAACGGATGGGTATTAATCTGTGCACTAACTAAAACATAGTACAGATACTATACGCATGGTACGTGTATTATGCTTTAGTTAGTACACAGATTAGTACCCATCCGTTAGTACCCATAGCATCACTCACATAAAAAACATTGAAAATAATATTAAGTAACACGAAATGCTCTAGTAGTTTCCTCAAGTATCAATTTCATTTTCAAATATTCTCTCAATTTTTCTAATAATTAATAAAAAAAATTAAAACTATATTTTCAAAAAATCTAAAATTTAAAATAAATCCTTATCATAGTTTATTAAATATTAACAATGAATAAATATTATCTAATTCAACAATTTTTATAACTATGTAATTCCAATGATTGATTTTTTGAAAACTGTTTTTAAAATAACTGATAGTTAAATCAGGCTAGATTGTTGAATTATAGTAATTCCAATTTTTTTATTTAATTTGAAATATTAATTAATAACCGTTCTTAAATCATAATGAAACCTTCAAAAGTAGTCAAGACATCTGGTGTTACTGATCGGGATTCGATTCCCTAGATGTGCAACTTGATTAGTTTATGGTTTTTAATCAAAAGAGGTTGGTCTGACGGTTAAGGAGATTTGCTCATCTTTCTTGAGTTTTTGGGCTCAAACCTTGGGATTATTTATTATAATAACATCATGACTTATCTGGTTCTTAGGGATTGTCAGGTGTTTAATAGATTCTGAAGATTAGTTGAGGTGTACATAAACTGACTCGGACATCCCAGTTACCAAAAAAAAATCAAAAGTGAGGAGATAACACATAAATAACTATGGTAACCACCCATTCAAAATAATAAAAAGGTTCCAAATTTATCTCATCATTTTAAGTAAAAATTTATTTAGATAAAGCCTAATCCAGTTAAATTAATATAAACTTATTTAAGGTATTTTTTTGATAAATTTAAATTAATATCTAAACTCAACTAATGTACACTGTTCTTGAACAGTTAACTGATAAATATTAAAGATTATAAATTATTTGAAATTTTGAATATTATCAATTAATTAAATTAAACCCATCAAATAAAACACTAATCCCATTCGACTAGAAACTTCTTAAATGGAAAGTTCTGATGAAAAAAATAATATCATTCACACGTGTAAAGCACAAATCACATTAAAAGTAAAAAAAATAAAATAAAACAAAAATATCCCCAATAAAATATATACACGCCAAACGCGGCCTTAGTCTTACCACTTTATTATTTTATTTTTTATTTTTTTATACCAACCAATACCGCATCTTGTAGCTGCTGTTATATATTCTGCGACGACTCTCCTCTGCAAGCCCACAGTTTATCTTCACTTTTCAGTTTTCATTACACAACCACTTGTATTAACACATTGTTTCGTTTCATTATCTCCTCAATTCCCTCTCGGCCGTTTCTTTGAACGCCCCTTTTTATCTATCTTTGTTTCGCTTTCTAATTTGAAGCTTCACTTTCTATCTTTGTATCATTCCTTTGTAGCTTCGACTTGTTTCGGCCTTTTCTGTATTGGTATGTTCTCGTTTCTGTGTTTACGATTCTGGGTATTGCTTTGTTTTTAGTTTTGTGTTGTAAAGTTTTGGGTTTAGTTGTTTCTTGTTGGGTTTCTGTGTTGGTTTGTTGAAGAGTGGGTGAGTTTTTTTTTTTTTTTGTTTCTTTTTCCTAGAAATTATGATTTTGCGGATGAAATTGTTTTGATTAGAAGCTTCAGTGAAGTTGGATGTGTGTTTTCTGATGGAAGCTGATTGAATGATATGATCGATTTTAAATTGAAAGACTTTTTTGGGTGATTTTGATGCCCTTTGTTTGGTTTCTGAGAAAACATAGAAGGAATTAGAAATTTTAGATCTCAATATCAGTGTCTTCTTGGTTATGTATAATTTCTTTTTTATCATTAGGGAAGAAAAAAGATAATTGCTTTCTCATCAGATTGTTGGAGGATTGAACTGTTTTAGCCCCTCTTTTTTGACCAACATATACAAGTTTATGCAATTTAGTAGAGTTTGTTTTGATTATAAATTCTTCAATCTCCCTACTCATTGAGATTGAGTTTATGTTCTATGTGAATGAAATATCCTATTTATTTATTATTTTTTTTAAATTTTGTTTAATTTTATTTTCCTTGTGTTTGAGAAAAATACTAAGGAAAGAATGCTGTTTGCAATTTTGATAATTTCTTTTTTAGCTCTAAGATGTTTTGTGTGAAAGTTTCTACTTGAAGAGGGCACGAGAATGGATTCCCAGTTAGCTATTATATTTCTTTCTTTGTGCCCAAGTGGTCCTCTGATATTACAGGTGCTGGATAAAGCTAAATGCAGATGGCTTTAAGGGCCCATCTTGAATCATGCTGCTGGCTTTTCAGTCATCATCTTTTTCACTTTTTTATTTTTGGTGTGGATGAAGATGATAGGCCTAGTTCTTTGCTCTTTTATGTAATTGTGTAGTTGAACGATTTTTGCTTTAGCTAATGTGGAGTCTTCAGTACTTTAATATGATCACTTCCATTTAATATAATTTTGAACCTTACCATCTTTGTTTCCATTCTCTTTTGCTTGTCAAGATGCTTAGGGAATCAAATGATTAGTACTTTGTTCAGGAGGATGACTATTTGGTGGTCGACCTTGAACATAAAAAAGGCATTTCTTATTTTCTTAATGGGCCATTATGCATGTGTTGTCTATTTGTGTAGATAGTGAATGATTTGCTCCTGTTGTTTATTGATCAGTAGAATATGTATCACAATGCACATGCCTTCGACTTTTTAGGTTTATGTCTACTGCATGCATTTTCATATTATTAGTCCTTATGTCTATTTCCGTGTGTACTTTCTAAGAAAATTTCATTTTTGTCACAGATTACATGGCTAGGGAACAGAACTTATTTGAGCTGGAGGCTCACTATGAAACTGATCGAGATCATTTGCTCAAGCAGAAATTGAGTTCCATCTCCGCATCTACAGGGGTCTCTGAAAACAAAAGCAGCTGTTTTGAATGCAATATTTGCATAGACTCTGCACGTGATCCTGTAGTTACCCTCTGTGGTCATCTATATTGTTGGGCTTGCATTTACGAGTGGCTTCATGTCCAAACATCCTCTCAAGATGCTGACAAACCGCAGCAGAATTGCCCCGTCTGTAAGGCTAACATTTCTCTTACTTCATTGGTTCCTCTCTATTGCCATGGAACATCCTCTTCTGAATCCGAATCCAAGAAGCATAGTTTGGGTGTGGCTGTGCCCAGTAGACCGCCTCCTATGTTGAACACTTCAATTACTTCCACTACAACATCCACCACACATCGAACTCCACAACTACATTCAGATCTCTTTCAGTCGCGAACGCAGTCATTACATAACCCACAGTACTTTCCTCACCACTACGGTGGTTATGCAGCCATTGCAACGTCTAGTCTCAGTGGTATGGCAACAATTAGCTTTGTTAACCCACTGATGGGAATGTTTGGAGGGATGGTATTAGAGAGGATTTTTGGGAGTTCAGTCACGAGTTTGTCCGCGTATCCATCTTCACATCCTCTAATGACAAGTAGCAACCGTAGAATCAGGAGGCAGGAAGTGGAGATTGACAAGTCCCTTAACAGAGTATCAATCTTTCTTTTTTGTTGCTTAATTCTGTGTCTTCTTTTGTTCTAATCATATAATCTCTTAGCTTTAATGCTTTTCATACTAAAACTATGAGATTGCGTGATTAACTACTGTACAGGGATACAAATGTTGCTAGAAGTTCCAAAGTCGAGTCCGAAACTTTTGTGAGAAAACTCTGCTATATTTCACGTGTAGATAATGTCATATTCTTCATTGTAAATTATTGTTTCTCTAATTTTTGCTTCTCTCCGTTTAGCATTCTTGACATTACTCTCTGAACTGGAAGGGTTGATTATCGAAACATGCTTCATTACATAAAATTTTCGAAAATGGGTGATCCTGATCTGAAAGGGAGAACTTTATATAGCGGGTAAACCCAAGTTAATCCAAAATTCCAAATATAAAAAGGAGCCCAAAGTTAACTGGAATACTAATAGAATTCCAAATTACATAAGGAGATCTCTTATTACTCAAAAAATACGAAACTTTAAATAGCGGTTGACCCAAGTCTTCTTTTTATCTTGATTTTTACTCTCTGAAGAGCATGGAAATCGATAGAATAAGTTGTCTCCACGACTCAATTTTATACAAAATCTTCTCTTTTCTTCCCGCAAAAGATGTTCTTCAAACAACCCTTCTCTCAAAGAGTTTGCAAGACTTATGGAAACCACTTCCTCATCTTGACTTTGATGAATCCGATTTTACTAATGAGAAAAGCTTTACCAACTTCGTGGATAAATTTCTGCTCCACCGTGGCAATTCAATCAGTATAATTAGACTTCGACTTCTATGCGGATTTGCGTGCAGAAGTTGTGATTTGGAGACCTGGATTAGTGCTGCATTTACGGCAAGAGTTCATGAGCTTCAACTCTGCTCTAAATACAAAGCCATCGGTGATGGCTTACCCTCTTCTTTATTCAATTGCAAGTCTTTGGTAACACTCAGACTGAACATCGGATATGTCGTTCGCTTTCCTGATAACTTTTGTTTCCCAAATATGAAGATCATTGATTTCTGTGATGTGCACTTTGGCAAGAACTTCAGTGATCAACTGCTCAACAGCAAAAATCTTGAAGAAATATACTTCATGCATTGTAGAATCGACATTGATAATTCTTCTTCTCCAAGTTCACTTACTGTTCGAGAAGATGTAGTTGCAGATGATTCTCATTGTTCAGGGACTTTTCCCAATTTAAATAAAGCAACTATCGTGTTAGGAAAACATCCCGGCAAAGAGGAGGAAACTGGTTTCTGCGCTAGTAAATTCATCAAAACGCTTTCTAATGCCAATGTTCTGTACCTATCAAACGCATGTATTCAGGTATGTTTTCATATTCTGAAATCATCTTTGCGGGATAATTCTGCGAACTCTTGTTACAATTTCTAGCATAAACTTACTCTTACAGTAATTTTTCTCTTGCAGCTTTTGCAATATTGCGGAGGAAATTTACTGGATTATTTGCCAACTTTTTGCAATCTCAAGCGTTTGCAGCTTACTGTTAGTATTAAGGATGGTGATATAGGGGTGTTGAGTTGTCTGCTGGATCGCTCTCCTATTCTCGAATCCCTTGGGATAAGATTTTTCAATTACAAATTCAGAAGTTTAGTTTCAAGATGTAACAGAGAACTGAAGCGAGGAGAGTATGCTCGACATTTGGAATGCATTAGAATGGAACATTTTCGTGGAAGCAAGAACCAGGTTGAGCTGGTGAGATTCTTCTTAGCAAATGCTCAAGTGTTGAAGAAGATGAGTCTTTATTCGGATAGAGAATTTCCATTGTCGCTGGACTTATTTGAGTTTCCAAGACTGTCAACAAGTTGTGAAACCTGTTGGATTATTAGACTTTATGCTCGAGGGGCATATTCACGAGGAGCAATGCTACACTTACATAACTCTTTACACAATTTTCATTACTCATGATGTGACAATGTTCAAACTATATAAATTTTAATTATTTTGAATTTAATATTATAATAGAATTTAGTGGTTATAGCTATACCACATCATGATGTAACAAAATTATGTAAAAAAAGGGTATAAGGTAGATTTACTCATTGTCTGAGAGGACTAGCCCCAGACAAGTCTTCGGACAAAAGAAATTGAAAATTTAAATTAAAATTATTTTTAGATTCATAAAAAAATTATTATATAATAAATAAATTAGGGTTATTTGGTTAAGGTTATCCCCATTATTATGTAATGTCATCTTACTTACTTACATTTCATGTTGGTGATGAGTAATTAAAAATTCGATAATATTAAAACTAATAGTAATTATTGTCGTATATAGGTGGTAACTCTACTACATTTTTTTTTAGGTACTTGTAGATTATTAGTAATCTTAATTTTGTTTACAATTTTACCTTTAACTATTAAAAATTTGTGACAAAATGTCATGTTTTTGTAAACAATTTACAAAAAATATTAGGTTATTTCAAAATGTTAGGAAATAAATATCCTCAACTTAAAAAAATAACCAAGACTAGTGGTCGGATTTGGGATCATTGACAGACGGCTAGCTGTCAACTTTTGGCCGCCAGTGCTACTTCTAGCTGTTGCGTGCCGACGACTAGCGGGTGTGGCTGGCGGCCGACAATAGCTTGGGTGGCTAGGGTCTTTTGTTAAATTTTCAAATTTTATTATGAGGGTGCTTATAGGTTACTTAATTGCCTTTCTTTCTTATATATATTATATTATTTGGATTGTTTTTAACCTTTTACATTGAGATTTTGTTAGAAATCCCAACAATAATAAAAGTTTAACAGTTTACATTGAGAAGATCTAACGTGTTTTGGTGATGGACGACGATGGTGGCGGCTGTAACGATGGTCAATAATGGCTAGAAGGTTATTGGGTGTTTTAGATAAATGTTTTTCAGAAAAGGGTAATAATGTTTAAAAAAAAATATTTAGGTAGGGATAAAATTATAATTAAATAAGATTGACATACCACTGTATGAAGTAGATGAAGTAGAAAGAGAGACATGAGAATATGTGGCGATGACAGTGGATATAAGATCTGTTTAATTTTATTAGTATATATTGTTTGATTTTGTACTCTCAACTGTGATAAAGGCAATGGCTGAGAGCTAGTCCGGATATAGTAAAATGAGGAAGAAAACAATGTCGTATTAGAGCCCATAATCTATATATATATATATACTATAATATATATATAATATATAAGATCGATATATATATATTAAAACATGTGTTTGATTAGAGTTTTCAGATCGGCAAACGTGCCTAAACTAGGTATGAACTTAAGTTTCTTTACCTTACACACAATAAATGTCTACAACGAACAAAAATGACCCTTCACACATATTAAGAAGCTTCATCATTTCGAAAATAATTTAAATTAAAAATTTCACTGCAAACTGCTATGCAATATGTTTCAACAGTATCTTCCTGGCTTCTTTCTTTTCATGCATTGGCATGCATCTTTAAATGGAAGGACCTTCAAATTATTTTAACAACTTGATTCCCGGATATTCATGTGCTTTGCCTTAATGTCTAGATTTCAGTGGTTAAATTATGTTAAAAAATATCCTATTAAACATAAATTATCAATACGATTCACATATATTTATCCATTTTAAAAATCACCCATCATTATTTATATAATAAAAAATAACCTAATATATAACATCTTGTGTTCTCTTTAAAGCAAGATTTTTTTTGTTTTTTTTTTTTTTATGTGCACGGGCAGATTCGAACAACTTTGTGGCTAATCCCTCCAGGTCCATTAAACACCCAACAAACCAATATTAAGATAAGTTCTTTTTTATTTATTTTTTATGACCAGAGTGTTCAGATCAGCTTGCATTATACCTCAATTATCATCGACACCCATTGAATTACCCAACAAGCCACTCCTTGGGCTGTACATACTCAATAAACTCAAATGTTTTAAAGTAAGCTATTAAATAATAGTAGGTGGTCTCAAATAGTTCTAACTGAAAGAGCCAATAAGAAAATACATCTTCTTGATTGCTAGGTCATCCTTAGAGTTCAAGTCTGATTAACAAAGGAAGCAATAAGAAACATAAATTTCTGATTGCTGGCCAATCCTAGAGTTCATTTGTATTTAACAATAGGTGCGTGGGTTAAAATAATAGATTTCGGGCACAATATATAATACGTTTGAAAGAGTCATCTTCACAAAACTATACTAGCATATAAAATTGCGAAATCCCTATTGTTTATCCTATTGTTCTTTGTCACATACAAACTTAAGAACCTTTTGAATATTATAAAAGCAATGCTGTTTTTACAAAGACACATATAATAGGACATACATAAGGACAAGTTTCTCCTCTCATTCTCTTTTCTGATTTTCTGTTGTTTTTCTTTTACATGATATATTTTAGTAACCCATAACATTTTTCGTTAGTTAATAAATTATACAGTATCAATGGACATGTAAAAAGTTTATCTATAATCGGACAGAAACATGATCAGTCACCGACAAATTAAAGACTTATTAGAAGCATCGTCAACAGTCGCCATCACATGCCCTTGCTCTCTATGATCACTGTCTCAACAACACCGCTGTCACTCCTCACCGTACTCAGTTTCTGTACTTTACAGGACGTGAAAAAACGCGCTTTTATTTTTAAATTTTTCAATATTCTCTTTATAAGATAACGTTAATGAATCTTCATTCGGAATATAATCACCGACAACCGCGTCCATAACTCTATAAAACACAAGCTTCCTCTTCAAGAATTTCAATATCTAGTTATCTAGCTATCTTTTGTTTGTCATCGAGGAATTTATTCAGCAAAAATATTCCAACTTTTGGTGTTTGTTTAGAGAGAAAAATTAAGCCTGTTGAAATGGGTCCCGTAGTTGTTCCTTCTGTGTTGCTTTGGCACCTTTTCTTCTTCGTGAGTGTTATGTTTGAGGGCATTAATTGTCAAGCCAGTCGTTGGCTTAATGCTCATGCAACTTTCTATGGAGCCAACCAGAGCCCCTCCACTCTTGGTAGACTATTTTAGATCTTATTTAGGGTTTTGTGAAACGACATAGAACAAGATTCTGGCCTTGCTCAGAATTAGGATTCTCTTTTGATTTGAGTTCTTCTGAACTTTTAAAAATCTCATGACTCATATGTATTAATAATAGTATATGGTTATGATTTGAATAGTTGATGTCTAAAATGGGCACATTTTTTTAACTCACTTTACAATACAGAATTACAAAACTCATTTTCCTGAATTTTATTCACTAATTCTTGATTGTAGACGTATTGAACATGTTTTATGTTTACATTATGCCTATATTTATTAGGGGGAGCTTGTGGTTATGATAATACCATCCACGCCGGCTTCGGAATCAACACAGCAGCCGTGAGTGGTGCACTTTACAGAGGCGGGGAGGCGTGCGGTGCTTGCTACCATCTAATGTGCGACTTCAAGGCCGATCCAAAGTGGTGCCTGCGCCGTGCGACGGTGACCATAACAACCACCAACTTCTGCCCTCCGAATAACAACGGCGGATGGTGCGATCCCCCTCGCCAACACTTTGACATGTCCATGCCTGCTTTCTTGCGCATTGCTCGACAAGGCAATGAAGGCATCGTCCCTGTCCTCTATCGAAGGTACAGTTTCCCATCAGCCTTATTAAACAAATGGAAGGGACATGGTTAATAATAGAATAATTTTCTAGGACAAGTGGGCTGAGTTGACTCCAAACACCAGTGTTTGGTATTGATTGTTTCAGTTGCAATTAATAGGCTATAAGAAGGTTCTTGCATCATTTAAACTGTTTATACTGTTTGGTTGGAAAGAAAGTTATTGATAATTTGTTTGGAAATTGAAGGGTGGCATGCAGGAGGAGAGGGGGAGTCCACTTCACATTGAGAGGGCAATCAAACTTCAACTTGGTGATGGTTTCAAACGTGGGTGGTAGCGGCGACGTGAAGGCTGCATGGGTTCGAGGGTCAAGGTCAAGAACGTGGGTGGCCATGCAGAGAAACTGGGGAGCAAACTGGTCAACAAGCGTCGATCTTCGAAACCAAAAACTCTCTTTTAAAATCACTTTGGTCGATCGAAGAACACTTCAGTTCTTCAATGTCGTGCCTTCGTCTTGGAGATTTGGCCAGACATATTCTTCCAAAAATCAGTTCTCCAATTAACATTTTTATAGATAGAGTAATTAATTAGTTTAATCAGCATGTCCATGAACTGGCTGTTTTTTTATTTATAGTTCTGGACATAATTATTTAACAGTTCTATGTTGTTTTGTAATTCATAAATAGATGACTCCTAAAACTGGGAGAAAATTCTATATCTGTTATTCAATTCAAGATGATGAATAAAAAATTTAATATATAGTGAGAATAATGATTGAAGTCCTTACAATTCTTTTTTTAATATATGGTTGTTTTATTAACCAATATATATATATATATGTGTGTGTGTGTGTGTGTGTGAAAGAGATAAAGAAAAAGTTTTAATTAATTTGCTGATTTTTTTGAATAGAATAAAAACTTAGATATGTGGGCCTTGATTTGGGCCAGACCAGGAATCAACTGGCCTGCTTAATGAAAGGCCCTTACAAAAGCTTAAAAGGACAAAATATATTTTTCATTTTCTCAGTTTCAAAATATTATTTTTAGATAAATATAATAAAAACGTTATTATATTTTCAGACAATAGAAAATAGATTTATAGAATAAAATTAAAATAATCAATAATTTGGAGGCAAATATCATATTGTCTCTTTTACAAAATTTTACTTTAACCTCAAAATATAGCTAACCTAAAACCCTAGTCAAAAGACTCAAAACCCTTGAAACCAAAAATTCAACTGAAATTTTCTCAAACATTTCCCTCTCAACTCCAATGGCATCAACAATCTTGAAGAAAGCTCTCAACTTCTCGGCAATAAACCCACCCATCTTTATAAGAGCAT